TAGCATCGTCCCTTCGACTGCGCGTTCGCTGAGTGATCTTTCATCCTGCTCACGCAGCGACCAGGCTTCTGACCCATACGTTAGGGTAGGAAGTACCGTTGAGTCGAAAAGGTGGGCACGGACTCGGGTGTTCTTTGTTCTCTTCACTACATCCTCGATGCTCTTGAAAGCCCCTCAAGCCGCTCCTTTCCCTCTGCTCAGCTCTGGAGTTAAGTCGTTCATCATATTGATTTCCCGATTTAGATAGACATAACTGGAGCATTCGGAGATATTCATTCTGTTGAGCATGAGTGGGGCATACGAAACCAGTCCGTGCTTCATGAACATCGTTTTCGTGATATTTAGTCGAAGACCAATCATTCCACAGGCTTTATCAAAGTCGGCAAGCATTCGTTCCGCATGGCTAATGTTGGTGTTGTAAGGACGATGTCATAAGCATAGCGGAGATGGTGTAACCGCCGATCACCGATTTTCACCCCCACATTATCCCATTCCAATGTTCGCATGATGTTCTGGAGGATGGCGGTAAAAAATTTTGGCGAGATCATATTGCCTTACATAACCCCAATTTTGACGTCAATGTTAATATCGTTTTAGAATGGTGAAATCTTGGTTGTGAAATTTTTGTACAGCTCACGAAGAATCATTATGTACTGAGTAGGGACTCCCTGACTCTCATGGGCTTCTATGACTGATTCTATCTCATTTGAGTCAAAGCCCTTCTTTAGACCGATGAGAGGGAGATAGAGCGGTCTTTTGTACTTTCGTGGTACTTCAATGAGCCTTGTTACCGTGTGGATGTGGTTCATCGTACTAAATCCTTTTCGAAGCCCTGCTTGCTCACATGGCTGTCCTTTGTCCAGTGTTCTGTCAATCCTGTTTAGGATGACTCGAGTGAAAAGTTTGTAGACGATAAACAGCAAGCAGATTGTGCGATAGTTACCGATATCGTATAGGTCACCCTTCTTGAACAATAACACGGTCTTACCAGTCTTCCAGTGAGTAGCAACCATGCATTCAGACAGGTAACGTGTGAAGAGCAGAGCCAGTGTGTTTACGAGGATTGGTGGAAGGTTCTTCAGGTGTTCTGATCTTATCCTGTTCGGACCTGGTGCTGTTCGATTTTTCACCGACGGAGCGGCATGTCGGATTTCGCAAAGGAGAGCCAGTGGTACAACATATCCATCCTCCTTTATTTCATATGACGGAAGGTGGACGTGGCTATCGAAGAGATCTGAGTAGCATTCGTGAATGGTTTTCTCCATTGCCTTTCTGGACGCTGTAACTGTTCCGTCTGGGCGTCGAAGAACAATCATCTTGATCTTGTACTTGGCTAAGCTTTCGTGTGCTTTGCGAATGCTTTTCCCAGGCTCTACAGCTTCGACCATTACTGCTGCTCTTCTCTCTTTAAGATCTTCTTTTATCGCCTGTCTGAACTGTTCCGCAAGTTCGGACGTTAGTTTGCGGTTGCCTGTAACTCGTGTTATTCCATGCACGCGAATAACCACGAGTGTTTCTGGAGGCAGACATCTCTTGGTGACTTTCGAGCTCTGAGCTTTCATAGCGCTAGCATGAAGATGTTGATTGAGCCGATCGTATTCTTCGTCGATGTTATCGACAACGGCATCTTCCCAGTAGCTAATGAATTGAATAAGTCCCAATTTGTGGTGGTTCTGGACTTCGGTTTTGAATTTAGCGGCTTTTCCTCCTTTCCGCGAGAAGTGGAATCTAGCAGGAAGGAGACGGTGATCTGATCCCGCGTAGAAGTGCCCTCGTGCCGAGAGTATTATTAACACTATTCTCGATACATCGGCCTTTATGAGTTTGTACGATAATATTGCTATTCAAATGCATAGCACTCTTAAAAATTACATGGGTCATGACAACCTGCTAAATTGAATTGCGCAATCTTTTTACTTCACAGTAATTATAGGGACTTAAAAAAGATAGTAGGTACCACAAAATACTGACCCTACTACTGGTCTACATTGCACCCGAAGCGCAACTATCGTAAATAGCGCATTTATATCGGAGACTGGGTCTTACAAATTTCCAAGATATGGCCCTATTTAGCACACTTGTATGATCAAATCACATTCGTCCGTTGGTTTGGTATACAGATTTTAGTCCTCTTTTCAATTGCTGAAGAACTTGGCCGCTTTGTTTTGCCTACTCATAATCACTCATAATCATACTCATAATCATAATCGCATGATCACTTGAATGTATTCACCGTTATATTTCTATATTCGATAAATTGCGTTTAATACGATTTAATTTTCTTACGCCATGCTTTCCACTCCAACAGAGGGTTTCCAATATTGATAGAATCCCTTATTGGAAGTAAATTTGTCACCACATGTCATACAAAACTTGTAGCATATAACTGACCGGCACGAGTCATATTTGCCTCATTTCCTTTTCGACTATTTCGACTATCGGTCTTTTGTGTACTTTTTCATGCATAGAAGTCTATATAATAAAAAAGACTAGGCATGTACTGAATGGCGCATTTGTCAATGTTTTTACAAGGTATGTCTTTGCAAACATTACAAAGTCTCAATTCTTATCCTCATAACTTTTAACATCCTATGGCTTCACTATTATTGATGGAAAAAACACTGGAAGGTCCGAGCTTTTGAATTAATTAATTCTTCTTCCTTTTGTAGATCGTAATGAATAGTGTAGTTATAACATGAAATGACATTAGGTTCTCAGGAAATCAATACCGGATTCTAACTTCTAGTGTAATATATCTCAACTCAGAACAAACATTGTTACCCGAAATAAAGACGGTTATAACTTACACATTGTTGCTAGCGAAAAACAAGTTTACTTGTTTTTGTTTTTATTACCAGTTGCTTAAAATGCTGGACTTCTGAAGGGAATGAAGTCGATGAACGCACTTTCGTACTACGCTTGGTTACTGAAGCATTTCTCGTACAGGAAACCGTCGAAATGCTTGAAGAAGCGGCATTCGGTAGCCAAAATGTCTGGCAGTAATGGCGGATTAGGCAGATTATGGAGCGTTCGAGCTTTGCAGATCTAGATTTTTTTCGGATTTAGAACACCGAAAAGTTTTGGTGCCTTTCTTCTGGCCAGTGCGGGGTCCAGCCGTTCTGTAGTGCATTTCATCGATTTGCTGAACGTACTTCTCCGCCAAATGGATTCATCTCATCTGGGTTCAGAAGGCTGTGATGGATCAAACCTGCTTACACCACCAAATGATCATTATGACATTCCTTTGGTGAAATTTCAGCTTTGGGAAGTAATGTAGAGCTTCATATCGATCCAAGCACTAAGCCGATCGTCATCGGTTGTCGAAGAAGGTCTATTTTCGTTTCACTTTACAATATTATCGAGAAATGAGTTGTTATGGTTGCGCAAAAGAAGCTCCGATGCTTTCAAATGTCGACTTTTGGATTTTTATTTAGTTTATAGGTTGGCCGTCTACGAAGCATCTTTGACTTTCAGGTTTTCTTTAGATGCTCTGAAACAATTGGTATTCTTACAATGAGTTTTTTAGTGAATTCTCGAAGAGTCATGTTTGCGTTGCTTCGACCGAGCCCTTCAATTCGTCGTTGTTAATAGCAGAAGTACTTCCGGGGCCTCCCTCATTTATAAAGTCGAATTCGCAACGACGAAATTTCTCTAATCTAACCAACATTGTACTCTGCATTCGTTAACACTCCCTTGGCCCCATAGCTCATTAATGTTTCGGGTCATTTGGCTGGACCACCTCTGAGTTTAAATGCGTTGAAATAGACTTGTCGAAATTGCTATTCTGGTGTCTGAATTCAATACATCAATCTTGGAAAAGTATCAAAAACCCAGTTTGTGTTAATATTCAGCTTTATGGAGCGGAAATGAGAAAAAATCGGCTTTGCTATTAATAATATATATGTTTTTATTACTATTATTTTTGTTGTTATTACTATTATTATTATTATTATTATTAATATTATTAATCATTATTAGTCTCCTCGTAACGGTTTACCGCCTCATCGTGGCTGAGAGGCCTCCTGGTTGTCAGGCTGCGGTGTACAGCGGGGACATTCATTTCTGGCAGCGTCTTCTAAGCTGAGAACGAGTCGGGCGTTTCCACTAGAAAGCTCAGCTAAGAGTAAGCAAATACCAGGATCCATCACGATTCCCGGTACCAAGTTAGTCGCATGGTGGCAAATCTACCTCTGATTGACATGGGTGCCGATTGCCTGTGGTGGTGACCACCTCGGGCAAACTTTGGCCAAGCCGACCTCGTGGCTCCAGGAAAACACAGTGACTAAGCCAGCAAAACTCCCAACAGTGGAGATTATGCTGAAGCCTACACAATCATTCAGGAAGGGCCGTCCAAGTAAGTATCCAAGTATTAGAATGTTCGAAAAAAAAACTCATGCTAATACATAAGCAAGAAGAATGAAATTACAAATGAGACATTGGTTAACGAGCAGCCTAATAGAAATGATTGTGCTGAGAAACCCATTATCAAAAGATCAAGCCAATGTAGTTGGATGGTTGGTAGACTTTTCTTTCACACCCAAAAATTTAAAATGTTTAAGAGGAAAGGTATCTTCGTGTATACTATATGTTTAGATAAAGGGGCGCGTGTTGCGCAGTGGTCGGTGGCGCCCTGCAATCTACATGGGATTGATCCCGGCCCCCAGGGCTCACCAAGCCGAAGACGATTCAATTTCCAACCAATTGTTGATTGTTATTCAAGTTTTAGTAGCATAGTGGTCAAAATTCATCGTATCGATTTGATGTTTATAAAAGTTATGTAAAACACTTGCCGTAGGAAAGGCCTTGTAACCTATGTATAACTCATCGCGTGAGCAGGAGAGAATTAGGCGTCTTCGCCAGTATGTTACACCTCTGTTCCTGATACCATCCATTGTGACCACAGTTTAAAATATGTGGTTTTTGTGCAATGTACAACTAACTTAAATGGGAAGGAATCCAGTCTTTTAGGATATTTCGGTGTTTTACTCTAATTTTCCATTATGCAAACTCTGAAATTCAGGGAAGTGCAACTAATGAGGATGGCGGAGCTAAGAAAGAAGCTGGATGCAGCTGAAAAGGTGGAAACCTGCCGACGAATTCGCTCAGGGCAAAGTCCCGAGTCTTACAAACGCGTAAGATCAAGTCGAAGTCTAAGCAGAGGTAAATCATGTTCTGAGAAAATCGTCTTAAATATCTATCGTTCAATACATGTATAAATGGTTTCAAGGACGACAACACTCATCAGAAAAGCAACGACGGTATTCAAACAGCCTCGATGATAAAGAAATAGTGCAGAAGATTGAAAGTGAACATGTTCAACCAGTTGATTACGATCCAAAGGATCCGTACAGTCGACTTTCGGCAAATATCAAGCGTTTTCAATACCTGCATAGGGTGAGCGGTAGAGCGACTTGAAATTCGTGAAAGTATCGACGATATCTTTGTCCTAGCTGGATGATCCTACACTATGTACTTACAAGGAGAACCTCAAAAAACAACTTCTTCGTTTGGAGCGGTTTCGCGATGTTTCGTTCGGAATTCATTCCGTGGCTCGCCATCCACTTGTCCCACATCAGTCGTGGTTCTTTCGAAGGAGGTGAATACCAACCTTTCTTCAGTAGAACATCCATCAAAGTTTTCGTTAATTTTCCATATGAGGACTCCTCTTCCGAAGTTTAACCTAAAGTGTATTACAGTATATTCATCAATAGAGCCGTTTGTAGTACAAAAATCAGGAGAACAAATTAAAATTCTGTGCAGCTGTTTATAATGACGTTTTGAAAGCAAAATTCTAGCATCGGTTTATATAAAAATCAACAAGTGTGTCTTAATTATGTCTCGTTCGTTTTCGGGAGCTTTTCACATGCTTCACATACCAATATCCTTTATACTGTTTTCTAATTTGTTTAATAACTCCTTTTCCATCTTGGGATGGCCATTGAATTAATCGCATGGATTAAAATTTTGTCCTCTTTTTGAATGCTATAGTCTACTTCTACCACAAATCTAAGAGAATGGTTTGACCAGGTCCCTTCCCAGCCTAACATCATCATCGCCAGCTAATCCTCTTCACGAACCGCTAAGGTACGGTGATGGCACGTACCGTATCCGAATACCGTCATAATCGGCACGTGCCCCATCTAGACCAAAAATTGTGTAATCTTCAGTTCTAATAGTATATAGCGGTGAGGTGGTGGTTTTGCGGTATCACGGATATTACTGGAGTGCGCTTATGTGTTGTGGCTTTCTTTGAAGTGTTGTGTAGCACCACATTCAGTAGCCCATCTCTTTGGCTTTTTGTCTGAACCATAACTTCATAGCCATTCAATTTCGTTTTTGTTGACTGCTCGACCAAAATTTTTACCTCTTCGGAGTAATGCAAACAAAGCAATTGTCTACGTTGTACGATGTTTCCCAGCACGCTCCTATCTATTGTCTGCAGTGACTTTTCATCCACGTATGCTGCGTCGTTAAGGAGTAGCAATTCGACACGTGGTCGCAAGTCCCACCAATCTCCTCGTTCGACGGCAAACCATTCCCATGATAGTCGGACCAGTTGCCCTCCATCAGGAAGAAAACGAAAAGGTATTTTATCATTCCTATATCTGTGTAATGAAGTCTCTTTGCTTTCAAAAACTTGTCTTATGCGGAAATAACAAGAACAAAATCACAGTATAATTTTTTTCAATGGACGACTGCTGTTTTGCGTTGATTCAGATGCAGCAAAAGCTGCGTAGAAGTTTACAATCGAATACTAGCTCCCTAAAAAACAAGGAGTTGGCAGGAAAGTTTAGGAATATTACCTACTTGATACTTGAATGGCCCGTCCTAACTAGCTATGCGAGTCCCAGGATAATCTCCATTTTTCGGAGAATTGCTGGTTGAGCCATTGTGGTTGCCTGAAGGTCAGAGGTCAGCCTAGTCAAAATCTGATCCAGGTCGTCATACCACAGGCAGCCGCCGCCCTTGTGGATCAGAAGGAGATTTACCACATTTGCTAGTTTGATACCAGGACAGTGGTGGATCCTGTTATTGGTTTACTTTTAGCTGGTCTTCCTGGTGGATACACCAGACTCCTCAGCTTAGGAGGCTCTGCCGTGCGGTTGAATCCCTCCGTTGTACATCGCAGTCCGACACTTGGGAATACCGCCTACCCACAATGAGGCAGTAAACCTAGTGTTGGGAGCTTAGGAATATTACCGTCCTCTTAATTGAACTAAGACATCAATAAGTTGCAAAAGTGGATGGATTAGAAAACAAAAAACCAATCGGCTGGATACAGATGAGGGTTATGCAGTAATTCTGAGAAGCATTTGGTAATAGAGACTTCATCTTCGTATTTTCTTCTGAAACCACTTGACATTCCTTGGGAAAGGTTTCGTCAATGTAAAGTTTTCTTAGATTGTAGTGAGGTTTGAAACTGTTGATTTTTGGAGAAGATTCTGTATCATTCATTTTCACAAAACCTTTGAAAAGCTGTTTAAAAGTGTCCATAATTATTCCTTTAGTTTCAGACTCCAGCTCAAGACTACCGCAAATTGGGAATGGAAAAACTTCGAAATCCTTTAACCCACAATCTCATCCTTTACTGAGTGCACCGTCGCCTTCCCAAAAGTGAGCATTGAAATATTCCAATAATAAAAGCGTTTGCTGCAGCATCATGTACATCTAATTTAGGCCACCTACTGTTCGTGGACGCGCTGTTACAAAAAAGCCAACAACCACTCCAAAGACAAAGGTTACGACAACACACGTTGTACCTCCACAAAATAACGGTTTACTTCAATTTTTTACCATTTACTGATGTATATAATATAAATTAAAACTAACGATAATATTGCCTCCAGGAACTCTATCGTATGGAATTTTGGGATCTACAGATACTGAAGAACAATCTGCAGTCAGCACGATTGAGATGGCTAATAAGAACAATGATGATGATGAAAGTGCTCTAGATAAGATACTGTCGACGGATAATCAATGCGAGGCTGAAACCCAGAAACATCCTATTGGTGTTACGGGCAGTAGAGCTGCTGTTGAAACCTGTAATGAAGGTATCATCGAAACCGCTGAGAAATCCGTTGCTCAAGAAGAGAAGAGTTTGTTGTCCTACCCAAGAAATGGAGACGGAGAAAGAGAAATATTTGAGAACATTACAGAACATTTCCCGAGATCCGATGAGCAGTATCTCAAGAATGTGGACTCATCAAAAGCTGATCATCACAACCGTGATGACGAAGAATCTTCTGAGAATGAGATGGTTGGAGAACGGGAAGCGTCAGAACATTTAATATTGAATGAAAGCAGCGTACCAAAACATTTCGAACTGCATCAAGGTAACTTTGCAGAAAAAGAACTTATGCATGCAAAGGATAGCACTCATTCTGCTGAAGATGTCTCTTCGAATACGGTTAGAAGCTTAAGTGTTGGGGAAGGTAATAAATTTAACGGGGAAGTAGTGGCATGCTCTGCGGATCTCAACCTCATGGAATTTCCAGTGACAGCATGCAGAACTGATGACGGAAATGAAAAAGATCCAAAGAACATGTCATCATCATTCTCGACATGTGAAAATGTTGCTGAATGTGAGGAAAGGTATGATTTCGCAGGTGGGGAAACTCTACATGATGGTGATTTGAAGATAGATGACCACTTATGTTACCACAGGGATCACAGCTTCCAGGAACAAAAAGATGGAGGAGCTGTCGAATATTTCCACGACGATAAAAACTTGCAGGAGCAAGAAAAGGTTGATGCTATCGAATACCATTTTACTGGGAAGGAAGAAAAATCCAGCGGAATTTTGAGGGAGGAAATTCAAGATACTACTCCTCAGTTGATAGAAAACAGACAGGTGCTTGGAGAAGAAACTCTTTCTGTTTCTAAAGAAGACATAGAAGACAACCTACCCATTTATGAGAATGCTGAGAGTTCTATAATGCACAGAGTCTCCTCTGGTATGAGTTTGTCAGAGAAGCCTGAAAACCATATTAAGGATGACTGTTGTGCTGATAAGTTATCTTCTGATTCTAATCAGTTCAATGATGAAGATTATCCATCAGACCATTCTCATGAGGTCAACGATGGTTTGCCAGGAAATCTTGGCATTATGACTGAATCACAACTTAAAAATAGGATCCCACTAGAAGACGAGAATGTAAGTCAGGAAGAAAGCATGATGCGAACTATGACAGCAATTCAAAGTGACACCCAGTCATTGAAATCAACTGATCATGAGCTGCTTTGTGGACAACTGACATCTGAAGAAGGAGAAAGCACTTTTAGCGATTTCGAGAACCAAAAAGATGAGTTAAAGAAGCGCGTTCGTTCTCCTGACTTTGTTAACCTACCGGAATGCGACGATGCATCGACGGATTCAGTGGTAATTCACGATACCGAACACATACCTAGTGTTGAGCACCAAATGAGCGATATTCCCGTAAACGTTATTCATGAAACAAATTCGTCCATTTCCTATTTACAAAGGAATGGAGAAGAACAAGCTACGCATTCTACTTATAGCAATAACATATCAGATACGGTTCATATAACACCATCATTTGAAGAAGGTACGCAATCAGGCACATCCGACCTCAAATTTAGTGTAGTCAACGAGGAGGATGTTTTGCAATATCGTGATGTGTATGATTCTCAAGGGAACGAAAGAGATAACATGGAAGTCTCTAACATAGTCAAAGGTTCTGAAAGCAGTGACGAGAGTGTTCAGCACTTTGTAACGAACATCGTGCATCCAGATAGTTTCGAAACAGACAATCGTTCAACCAACGCCAATGTATCCAACAACGCCGATGTCTATCACTGCTCAGAAACGGTAAGTGTTAAGTTTTCATCAAAATAGTAATTGTCATTTTACTCATGGTACTTACTTGATACTTGAACGGCCCGTCCTCACTGGTTGTGTGGCTCTAGCATAATCACCATTTTTCGGAGATTTGCTGGTTAAGGCATTGTGGTTCACTAGAATCCCGAGGTCAGCCTGGGCAAAGTCTGACCCAAGTCTTCAACACCACAGGTAATCGCTGCCCTTGTGGATCAGAGGGAGATTTGCGACCATGTGACTTTAATACTAAGACGGTGGTGGATCCTTGTATTAGTTTACTCTTAGATACACTTCCTGATGGAAACGCCGGACTTATTCTCAGCTTGGTAGACCCAGCCGGGAGAACGAATCCCCTCGCTATACATCGCAGTCCGACACTCAGGAACACCTCCCAGTCGCGATGAGCCTGTAAACCGTCAGGAGCTTACTCATTATAATACCTGTAATTTTTTGCACACTTTTACCATTCCCCATGAAGCGGCCATGAACTTTAAACATATCGCAGCTTTATACATATCGATCTTATGAAAAGGTACAAGAAATGTGTTAAGTGTCCTGTAATTTATTTTACACTAATGTATTCTCCTCAGATAAACGACAATGCAATACATCACAGCAATACCTGTCCTTTTGCCGGTTCAGATGAAGAAAATAATAATGAGGATGGAAAGTCAAATAAAAGTTTGTCCGAGGATGAAGCTTCAAGGTAAGAGACCAATAGTATTTTACAGTATTTTGAAAACCACTTCGGAATTTATTAACATCAATATTCAGCCTTCCATACGATAGTGAACCTTTCGTCATAGGAGGTGGACTGGCCAATGGACGGCATCAAGAACATGAAGATCAGAATATTCTAAGTTCTTAAAAGCGCAGCTCTGGCAAAATTTCAAAAATTTTCGCACATTCCAGATGTCCTTTGATTAGTGTTTATATCCAAATGATTAGAGTTAACTTGCAACATTTGATGCCTCGTTATTCGCTCTCTTTATCTTATTTCATTAGCTATTTCGAAAATATCCTGCTTCAATGCGAGTTCCACCAACCTACAGGTTTATTCAAACCGACTAATATTTTTCTGCATCTCTCTTCCCATAAAAACTGTTTCACCATTGTTGGGCTTAACATCTCGATCTAAGCAACTCTTTCTTGCAATTATCATAGCAATGCTTTGTTTACAACTGTATGCAGTCTAACGCATTTTCGCATTCCACACACACTAGTGATTATGTAACTTACCTGATGTTCCGTTGCTTGTGAAATGTTGTTCATTTTGAGAGATAATCAAAAAGAAACGACATTGTACATATAGTCTTAAAGCGTCTAGCAGCTTACTTATTTCTTATTAGAGCGATTTATGAGCTTCCTTTCAAATCTTCTTTAGATTTACAACCACTGCACACACACAGTTCAACACTCCTTTTCTGGAATAAATTTCAATATCTTTCACAACTTCCAGCAATGTAATACGTCTGTAGTTAATTACCTATCTTCAGTTCACTCTTTGGTTATGATTCATGTGAAGAAACTATTAACTCAATGCCAGTGTCGCCATAAAAAAAATAGTTCGTCAATGAACCCACCTTCGACTCAAACCTGGTCTCCGGCCTTGTTAAAGCAAGAAATTTTTACATGTCATTTTTGACTTGTTACATCCAGGACTAATATTCCATTAGTCTCTTCGGTAAGTCGGCAGAAATGCATAACACTTGATCGGAGTTCCTGACTGTTTTAAGTGATTGTCCAAGTCACTCTCATCACCTGCGCTTATTCAATGTGGTACAGAATACGAACGATACTACTACTGTACTTTGGCATCAAAACACTTGGAATACACCACGTCAATCACCAAGTGAATCACGGTTGCTCGCATCACCCTACTCTGCATACCCTGTGAAGCATTTATTACTCCAAGTAACTACATCTATAGAACTATTTTTGAAAAGCCTTCCATTGTGTATAAAGACCCAAATCTCGTTCACAGAACTTGAATTTGCACGACAATGAGTGTTCAGTTCGACTATTTTGGTCTCATAAATGAAATACATGAAACAGAATAGGAACCATTGCTTTAATTATTTATAACGATTCCATATTGATTCGAAATTCACATGAAACCGGAAATAAAATAAAACCCGTACATTTCTTTGATAACGAAATCACCTGAAAACACGACATAGGCATTTTTCCATTGTATAACCAGGTAATGTTTTTTATAATTGAATTACGAAACATTACCGGTAATGAAGTTTGCTATACATCTAGAAGAACATTTGAAATATAGCAAAGTGTGGACGACAGGCTCATCTCTCAAAACTTTCAGACCTTCCCAAAAAAAGATATTTTTGAGTTAATTTCGTGCCACAGAAGAGATCCATTAGGCGAAAATTAATGATTTCCCATCATATAACAGCTTCAAAACACTATCTGAAGTAAAACTCCAAAAAAAAAAATAGGAAGGAAAACGATGAATACCATGTCGAATCTTCGAATTTGAAAAATCCAATTTTTCACCTCAACTATAGATTATATTTGAAAAATTCTACATACCGACTAATCTACAAAGCTTTGAGAGCGTCCTTTTTTTAACGGTGTGAAAAAATCATCTTTGAACAAACACCAGTAATTTTGCTTCTAGAAGTTCTCATTTCATCAATGTCACTTATTCTCATGTCATATAGACCTTCAAAACCTGGACCTAGCCTACACAAGAACTTTGAGCGTCAAATGCACCCTCTAAAAACAACCGCACTTCCAACGCACGACTAAAATTTGCGAAAGAAACACTTATGGAGAGAAATTTCACAGAGCTATGAGCAAGTGAGCTCAGGACATAATATCACTGAACCATTCCGAGACATCCGTATCGGCGCGCTCATTGCCCACGATGAAAGGATGTTTCTGAAAAAAGACTATAAGCAAACTTTTTGCCTACATGTGAGGATGGTTTTATGCAAAAACACAACGAGAATGGAGTCATATCGAGGCCTTTCCTCAACATTCCTTTTCAAGCACCAATCAACCAAATTGCAAAACTGTTCTGAGAAGCCATCCTAAAAGCTCAGAATCACTAACATCGATAGTAGGTATGAAATCACACATCTGATGCCTATGGTAATCAATGAGTTCTTACCGAAGTCTTCAATGAGGGACTGGGCAACTCAAGAATGGAGGAGATGATCTGGAAGTCACTACCTTCGTAGGGAAAATGTCCAGTTGCCAACTCCACCATGGTTATACCGAGAGACCAAACATCACTCCTTATATCGTAAGGCGTGTTTTCCTATTATGCAGAACTAATCAATAGTAAATATTTGAATGATGATAAAGAAGAGAACGAAAGAAAAACTTACAGTAGAGCGTACTCTTTCCGGAGCCATATAAGGTGGACAACCCGCTAGCTTTGATTTTGCACGACTTTCAATAAGGAAGCCGCTAATTCCGAAATCACATAATTTAACTACACCACTCCAGTCCAACAAGATATTTGATGGCTTGACATCACGATGAATAACATTCTGTAGAATTGTTATCTTGAGACCCCTTATGGCATATATCATGAACTAACATTTTAATCCACACTAACGGAAAAATATGTTGCACGCAGTTTTCAGGTAATATGCTTTGGTCGCTAGCTGCCCTCCGTTAGCTCAAAGAAAGCTTAGAGCGAAACGTGAAATTACAACATTACACGTGCTAATTTCCTAACACAAAGAATTGAAGGTAACTAAGCGAACCACTGTAATCAACCAACATGTTTTTCCTTTAGATAGTGAAGCGCTTTGACCACGCTCACTGACATTTTCCCCACTATCGGTTCAGGAATGGGTGCATTTTCGGTCCGTTTCAACAGCAAGTCGAGGCAAGTGGCCATCACTTCCATACATATCATCACTTCATTCTGCATTATAAAAAGAATTTATATTAGAATACAGGCCCTACACCATAGCTGTACTCTAATGTACAACTGTATTTCACAAAACGGATAAAACGTTCTTTGCTTTGTACACGTTTAGCACAAACTTCTAGCGAGATTGCTAGTTGTCAATATGTTCCCAGCAGTAAGATACTTTGTTTAATAATATCTATAAGATTTATCTTGACAAAGCTGAATGAACCAGTCCAAAGTATGTGTTAGATGAGAATTTTGGTACCACAATTTGATATTTTGAGCTTGGAAAAAAAAACTCTTTCGTTAGGTTGACCATTAACAATCCCAAACTAATGCCTAGGACACAACGTTACGAACAAAATGAAAAATTGCAACAAGACGGGGCAAGTGCAGATATCTAGAAATATCTTCAGAGTCGATATATTATGAGCCTGTATTTGTTTTGTACTCGCAGGAATCAAACGCGGTGAAGTGTTAAACCGAAAAATTGAATCGAAACAGAGGACCGTTCTTCGCTCCAATTTAATAACAAAAGTACTGCACTTGAATTTCATATAAACCAAGAAAACTAAGAAAACTGCGGAGTACAAGCTATGGAAGATGAAAACAAAATGGAAATGAATCGAAAAACACCTACAGCGAAAAATCTGTCGAACTATCGTACCTCTGTGATTAGATACCCATATGAATGGACAATGAATGTACAGTCGTAAGAGCGAGAAAGAATTCGTAAATCCATTATAATCCGTTTGCTCTCTACTGGATCGTTACTTCTGGGCATTGACTATAAGTAAACAAGCGGTACAATTTTAATTAACTAACAAACTTCAAGTTCTTAAACAGAGGCTTCAGTCAGTTAAAACAATCTCAACGATTCTTAAAAACAGTCTATATATGGAAATCTAAGTGGGCAGCAAAGAATGGAAAGAAACGTTGATAGCAATCCAGGTAATAGATGTGAAGAAAATTCCATTTTACTTTCAAACTACTGGCTACAAGGTATATGATTTCGACGATTTTTCATTAAGCAACAGAATAAAACGAACCTTAACTGCCATCACAATGCCATTATACTTCCTTTTTGACACATGCCCACAACTACCATGACCCAGTTCAGCAACAAATTCCAGGTCATCTACCGCTACTCGTAGCACACGACCTCAAAGTACAGTGCACTACTTCTTTGTCTAACACCAGTGCTTGGTAACGCCACTGAAAAACACGAGACAGCACATCCCAAACCTCCGACTCTCCTGCAGGTGTTTCGGGTTCAAAAAGTATCAGATCATTTTACCCCTATGCATACACCCTTGACTGCATTTTCCACGGTCTGAGAAAGTAAAAATATAATGATCAACATTGCAAAATTTTATGCTCGAAGGATCTCGTGTGCTCGTGGATTATTAAAAATTTCCCTTAAATACCTAAATGAAACGCTTAAACTTATTAAGTGGTGCCCAGTACGTCTTCTTTTCCTTTCCTTCTCACTTAAATGCCGTCCATGGAAATGCACAGGTTTTTCACAAACCAGCACCATTATTCTAGGCACTTCCGTCCATTCTCGCCTTTACGTACCCCACTGAGCAGTAAAAAAAAACATCTTTTTCTTTAATGATTTCGTCTCTGCAAAGTCCAGTTTTGATAATTGTGCCCTAACCTCGAAGAGTAATTTCCATTATTTTGCGAATGGTGCGCACAATTTATGTATAGAATACGACATCGGCATCGTTGCCCATCTTAACAACAAAACGAAAGTAGAAGTGCTAATAGAAGAGATCATGACTGGTCTGCTCATTTATCTTCACTGATCCAAAGCACTCATTAAGACCAAGAACCAATCTCGACTTTATGGATGCTCTTAAAAGTATCGCCTTATTGAAGACGCCTAAAACTAACATAATCCGTCGTTCATGCTAAGCAACATGTTCTGATACATCAACGATGTACTATCAACTCTCATGTGGCCGCGAAAGCGTTGTGCAATACACATTGGCAAAATGAATCCTGTTTTCGAGTGTCTCTCAGGAAACAAAATAGATACAAACGAGTGCGGTTTTACTCTTTTTAAAGCATTGTCAGCTAGCAGGAGCTCGGGTGGACACTTTTTTCAAGGGCAAAATTTCTTGTGTGAGCCTCCTATACCACAACACAACACATAAATTACTCATACAATACTTCACTGATATGTCAAGTAAGATCCTCCCATGTAGTTCCAAGACAGCCGTAACCAATGGTGCTGTCTGATCCTACCAACATAAGCAGTTTTCGACATTTTGAATGTACAGTAGGTTTGCTAACTGACGACTTCGGTATTTCTATTACTGTTGTAACTGCTAGCATTGTGTTGTTCTCAGCTGAGCTTCCGAATGGAGATGACGAACTACTCAACGGATTAGGTGACCTTTGTGAGGAGGTGAACCACTTATCGTAAATCGCAGATGGACATTCAGAAACACCCCACTGATGACAAAGGGGCTACGCATCATCAGAGTGTCCCACACAATAATTTTAACAAGCACCGCAAGCCAATAGTGATCACGTCTATTTTTTGCTGACGCCGAAGCGTTCACTGATAGGAGACCAAGGAGAAAAAAGTTAAATTATAATTTGGTCGGTAATTTATTTCATTCTAAATTCACATTTTCTAAACTTGGAGCTTTTAAAATGGTTTAAGAGGTATACCCACAACAGCATTTGATTGAACAATATTTAGTTGAAAAGGTCTAGTTATAACTTGAAGGTTAATCATGTGGATTTCCACCGAAGCGGCTTAACTCATAAAACAAAATAACAAAAACATGAACGAAAAAATAATACATTTGTAACAAAAAAATAGTATACTAATAGCCAAAACTGGAACAATGACTTACTAACTGCTACTGAGAAATGAAATATAAAACTCGATGCTCGATTGCATACCTCCTATAGTGAGTAGTCCAGAAGAACCCATTAATTCATCATAATGAGAATTATTATTCCTACGTAATGGAGGGCAAATTTCTTCCTGAATGGCTCCGAATCCCAAGTCCATATCTCTACCAACTGAAAAAACAGTAACTCTGCACACATTTTCTTAGGAATAAAGGTAAGGAAGAACTTCCCACAAACAATACAACACCAATATTGTGTCCAGCAAGGTCTTGAAAACAAACTATAACTTTGTTCATATCATTCGGAATGGTCCCTATGAAGTCTCTTTAGCACAGTATTTCATTCTAATACATACGAAAATAAAGATAGGAAAAGTGAATTACTTTAACTGTAATCGATATGTATTTCTTAGGGTGAGAGACCGAAGGCGGAAAAAAACGATGAGCAACGTAAACTCACTATCCATTCTTACACAGGTTTCGATTAGCACCCGTATAAAGAAGAGGATAACACCTGAAAACGAGAACTTTCGTAACCACCACGCTACTTCTCCTCTACACAATAAAAAATGACTTACAATCTCTTTCCACAGGTTAGCACAAGGAGACAAACGTAAGCAAATGTTGTTTGGTTCAACAACGGACGAACGAACAGCGGTACCGCTGCCGTGGAGACTCGTCCGTCCGCTCGGACGAACGGCACTCCCACTTCCATCGATTGATACCGCGCGAGTCGCCGCCTGTCGCAAACGAACGCCGCACGCGATGCCTAATCAGTGCTACGTACATACCTCTGCAAGGTGCCATCTACTTGTACGTTTTTACTTCTGCATTAGTCGAGTTTCTATTCGCTAGAAAGGATGACAATTTTTTGCGCAAAAGATAACTACGTGAATGTGGTGGTAGGTAGCATGAAGAGGCTATCCAGTTCTCGTTTCTCGCAGTTAATTCGCTTTGCAGCAGTGCTTTTTCATTATGTCACTCGAAAAATCCTAACCGGTTTCGAGAGCATTTTCGGCTCTGTTTTCTAACAAGTGGATTCATTCCATGGAGTTCTGCCAACTTCTTTCTGTGCTAGATGGTCTTTCTGATTTCAAATATGAAGTCGAATTCCGAGCGGCTATTTGTTTACAAATTCGTACTAACCCGTGCTATAAGACAAATACTTGCGTCTAACCCGAAACTTGAGACGTTGAGGCAATAGCTTAATGATTACTACAGAGATCGTTCAGAAATCTCAAGTTGGAAAACATTCGCTTGTAAGTATTCCAGGGGACTGTCAAGGACAGTCGTCTTAGAAACTATCATAGAAACCGTCTTAACGTTAACGTTTTTCTAACACCTGTAACAACTGGGAAATCAAAATTGTGCAGAACTGGTGGAATGCCTGTTGGTCCACAGGAAATAGATGTAATCCACTCTTCTTTTACTACACGTGAAGAAATTTTTACTGAAACTTCCTACTATTATTCACTTTAAAAAAGTACAAGAAGTCGACACCGGTCCTTTTCATTGGCCTACCGTTGCTCCGCTACTATTCTTACCAGGCGACTCATGTGGACTGGTAACAAGCTAGGATTAGTTGAAGAAAAAAAATCCTAACCTTGCTAATCATATTCGGCAGAACGTGCTCCGATTCCTTCTTACTTTCAAAACACCATCAAAAAAAAAAGAAATTTCATAATCACCATTTGCTCAAAAATTCTTTCCAGTAATCCAGTGATTTCGCAAATCCAGATTTCTGTGGAATATCACATTGACGAAATTGGAAGGACTTGAATGAACAGTTTCCTTCTTAAATAAAAATGTCAGCATTTGCCTGAACTATTTCTAAAGTTCTATTGCGGAGTTCGTTAGATCGTGTCGACTCTGTTTCCAATTTTGGAGAAAGCCGAGGTAAGGCGTTACCACGTGGATTGGAAGAGAGCGTTGGGGAGGGGGAGCCGAAATAGCACTCTTGCTTCCTGTTCGACAGCATCACTAACCACCTCGAATACTTCGTCACTTAGGGACAGCTTTTCGCTAGAATAAGATAATAAATCACTGAAGACACTCCTGAAAGCATTGTAATATTGTTGTGTATTAAGTGTCGAAGAGGAGGGGCGGAGAGCACAGTGGTAGTGATGTTCGTCATCACGAATGTGAAAAGTGCTGCGATTCGCAAAGTAGACGTGAGAATAGGTTATATAAAATAAAACAAAATAAATTAAAATAAATAGAAAGAGATGTGAAGGGGCGCGTGTGGAGCAATGGTCGGAGATGTCCTGAAATACACAGGGATCGATCCCGCACCCAAGGCCCACCAAGTCTTCCATCCCTCCGGGGTCGGCAAATTGATACTAGACTTGTCTGTGAGGATAGACACGCGGACTCGATACATCAGTAGGCCAACACGAGTCAAGGTTTAGGCTAGGTATATATTCACAGGCTAGGTATATATATTTTTTTATATAATCACAGCTAATTATGCTTAATGAGGTCGAATGCATAGCGCATCCCCCAGGGATTGGTCAACGCTGGGAGCTTTATTCTTTGTGCTTTTACTAGATGTCATAAAGATCAGTATCTCCAAAGAAGTTAGGCGTTCATCATTTCACTTGTCTTTGTTATCACTTAATTCAGCTGATATTAGAAATGGCTTGCCCAAATAAATTCGCTTTACGATTCAGAGTCTTTACAGTTTTCATGCCTTGCATGCACTTTACAATCATTATAACCTTCAACCTTACAAACTATGACGAGATAAAATCTCATGTGCCCAAAAAAGAGAAAAGGGGAAATAAGCGTGCCCCTTGCACAATCTACTGAAGTACGGAGATTAATACACCATCCATTTTGTTCATATCCATAAAGAATTTTCTTTGATTGAAGCTTTCGACGACTTGCATCGTTGATGAGTTAGTGAAACTGACGTCGTTATGCGTATTGTACATCGGAATAACATTATATTCACCATTCCGCTTCAGCAGCATTATGGTGCACCAATTCTGTTGAGCTTTAAATGACCTTATCCTCATCGCCTGATAGAAAACCTGCCTGCGAAGTGCCTTCCTGTTCTTCTTATATATACCAATCAGATGGGTTTTCTGTGGCAACAGCCTCCCAGCCAATGAGACACTCATATAGCATTTGAAGGTATCGAGTCGTCTTTTACGTACCAGTGTGCACGTTTAGTACGGTACTTAACTTGTTTTAGTCCAGTATTTTCTTTCATATTTAGTGTAATTTCTGAGTTTCTCTTTCCCTGAAGGGCACGAGGACCTCATCAACACATGCATTTTTCTATATGTATGGGTTATTTGGCAAGTTCTGCTAGCAAATTCGACGAATTGTCTAATCTTCTACAATTTTTCTTTTCGATTGTGGCATATATTCTCGGCAATGTGAAGGTGAGTCAACGACGTTGCTTCTTGCCATAGCGTAAGGCTGAAGAGGATGGCATTCATAAACTCGACCGGAACTCCGACAATCTTCTTTGAAGTGATTGTCTTCGAACTAGTGATTCTATCCATGATTCAATTGCTATGATCAATTATTTCTCTAATGGTCATCGTATCTGGAACTGTGCGTACCTGTCTAGAATTAATTTCGCCTTCCAAATTTTAACAAACACATCTTAGCTCATAATGAACTTTACTTAGATAGCAATGAATAAGATAGACAGATTTTGCAAACAAGACACAGAGTGTTACATAATTTCGTTATATTATTCGGGTAACACGAGATTGTTACAAAACGTTCATCTGTCTAACATTTGCGTATTCTTGATGATCCGAGTCAATTGTCCACAACGGTTCGTCCTCATATTGTGGATCTTCGTAGTCACACCGAGGTTAATCCTATGGAATGGAACACTGCTTGAATGAAATATCCTACTGGATAGTGCCATTCTACACAGGACGATTGTCATTCATTAAGACAAAGTTTTACATTGCACTAAGAAAAATGCATGACTCCTTCGATTCCACAGGACGTAATTTCCTCGTCGAAGCATCTAGTTAGAAATACGAAGCATTGACCGATCGAAATTTCCTCTGGAAAAAATACGATGTGTCCCGCAATGCATCGTTTATTTTTTGTTTGTGTTGCTTGCGTTTAACTCTTCAAAGATCCAAATTAATTTAACGACTTCTTAAAACCTGCGTTTTAATTAAGACATACGAAAAAAATTCCTTTAGAAAAGTTGCAAATACCTTTAGAGTGATAGCGCAAAACCTGCTCAGTAATGATGTATTTTTTTTCAGATTTCGAAGAAGTTTTCGATTCCCTAAGTGCTCTAGTTCTTAGCATGGTCCACTACGTGTTAAGCGTATAAAAATTAAAGGAAACAATTACAAGCACCTAAGAAGAACTGAAATTGGAGGAAAATATTAAATTTAAACCGTATAATTCAGGAACCAGTATATGATTGTTATTTCATTCCCAGTCGCTATAATAAATCTCTGTTCACGTATGGAACGGACACATAAGAATAACACAGCTCCACGTAAGTCATGAATCCGATTACCAGCTACAAACAGAGGCGGTTGTGTGGACCCTTTCTTAACCACCCAGAAGTGTCCAAGATGTTTCAACCACAGACGAACTAAGGGAATGAGTAGCAAAAAAAAATTAGGAATACTTTATTCATAGACAAACCGAATTGTTGGGTGAAAAGTCCAGCAAAACCGGAAGCACAGTATGCATGCTTCAGGTCGACCGGGATGAGTTGACATTAGCTCACAATGAATATGAGGGCAAATTTGTCGCCACTTAAATGCAGCAACCACATAGTTTTAGGCGTCAAGCGCTAAATGTTAGTAATAGACCTGTTTATATCCACATCGTTTTTTAGGTCACTGTTATTTCAAATTCTCTGCAGGTATGGTAATCGCTTTCTCTGTATCACCGCCACGAAGTTACACCGATTTCTAAATCCACTGTGAATTCTAGGAAACGGTAGCTTGTCGTCTGTCCAACCGTGCTCTGAAACCGTGGTTCACCGTGTTCCGCACATGAGTCGCCAAAGTGATAATAACCATTACTTACAGTGCATTTTTTCGTATTTTGATCGGCATGATTACTTCTTACATCTTTCGCCACCGTTTCAGTGAAGTTTATGTTGTGGGTGGATTGTTTGATCTAGATAGGGGTGCACATTTCTTCCACCTCAGTTGAGCATTATTTATGA